GTCCAGAGCCAAGATACACCCTTCAAGAGCACGCCCCCAGTAACTTACATCCTCCAACTAGCCCCCACCTTCCACAGTTCCACTGCTTCCTGATAGTCTATTCAAATTTTGAATCATTAATAGATTAAACCATTAGTTAAGTCAAAGTCCTCAAGATCTAATTATCTGTGTAAAGTCCCTCACAGGCATGCCCAGAGGTGTGCTCTACTAATCCCCTATGCATCTTTCAATCTAATCAACTTTACAATCAAGATGAACCATCACAAGGATAAAAATAAGATTATACTATAGATAGATAGATAGATAGATAGATAGATAGAAAACCACATTCATTTTTTCACAATATCACTGCACAGAGATTTCCTATTCATGAAATATAAATAACACTCTTTCAGAAGTAAATTACTTTGGTGAATTAAAACACTTGGAAGAGATTCCACTTCTAGATATATGAAACATAGGGACTGGCTTTATCCCTAGACTAATAGTAGCCCCGATGCCATTTTTTTAATGGGCAAAAGATTTGGATAGACATTTTTCCAAAGTAGGAATTCAAATGGACAGCGCACATGATAAATGCTCAACATCAAACGTCATTGAGGAAATCCAAATCGAAACCATAATGAGTACTACTTCATACATGTTAACATGACTTCAACAACAACAAATGATAGATAAGAACAAGTGCTTCTAAGAATGGAGACATTGAAAGCCTCATCCATTGCTGGTGGGATTGTAAAATGATGTAGTCACTTTGGAGAATAATCCGGTAGTTCTTCAAAAAGTTAAAAATAGAGTTACCATATGGACTGGCAATTCCAATCCAGTGATATATCCAGAAGAAATAAAACTGTACATTCAAATGTTTATAACAGTACTATTAATTGCCAAAAGCAGAAACAATCCAAGTGTCCAACAATGGATGAATAGATATGCAAAATCCTACAATGAATATTACTCAGTCATAAAAAGGAATAAAGTAACAATACATGCTACAACACAGAAAAATCCCAAAAATATTGTATTAATAAAAGACGCCAGTCATAAAGAACAACTCTTTGTATGATTTCATGTATGTGTCATGTTATTATAAAAGGTGGCAAAGTAGATTTCAGAGCAAACCATATTTGACCAATGATAAAGAGGGTCAAATGTAATAATAATGGGGTCAATCGGCATAATTCTAAAGTCGGATACTTCTGATACTAGAGCTTCAAAGTACATGAAGTACTGTAAAGAGAAAGGGATAATCCACAATTATGGTCAGAGGTTTTAATCCCATCTCAATAACTGATAGAATAAGTAAGTACGCAGAGATCGGTAAGGACATAGAGTTGAACAATGCCACCAACTAACATGACCTAAGTGGTATTTATAGAACACTTCACCCAATAACAGCAAAACACATATCTTCTCCAGTGCCCATGAACATTTATCAAGAGACCAGATTCTGGGAGATAAAATTAGTCAATGTTTATGCAAGACATGTTCTCCAGTCACATCAGTGACCTCAGTTTCCACCTTAAGAAGCTAGAAAAAGAAAACAAAAGAGGCCAAAGTAAGCAGAAGAAAGGAGATGATACAGAGCAGAGGAGAAACCAATGGAACAGAGAGGGCACAAGCCATCATTAGCAGAAATGAGAAGGGAGATCATCACTGCAGGTATTAAAAGGAAAGCAAAATATGTTGGATGATTTCATGCAACCAATTTTAAAACTTAAATGGATAAATTACTTAGAAGATGCACACTACTAATTGTCACTCAGAAAGAAATAATCTGTATAACTATTAAATTAACTGAATTTACTGTAAAAATATTTCCCACCAAAAAACTCCAGGTCCAGATGACAACATTGATGAATTCTACCAAGTATTAAAAGGAAAACAAATGCTGATTCTATACATTTTCCAACTGATTCTATGAGGATGGTATTACCATAAGAACAAAACCAGAGAAAGGTATTATGACAAAACTGCAGACAAATGTTCCTCATGAATATGGATGCAAAAATTGTAGGATCTTATTGGAACACAAGCATACCAGTTCACACAATGTCTACGGCTCTATCTGTAATATAATACCGTAGCTCTGGCAGAGACCAGGAGGTGAGCCCTGCCTGGCCCTTCCCAGAAAAGATTGCTGACTTTTGACTAAAGTTGTACATTGAAAGAAATAGAGAAAAGCCCCCTCCCCATCTTGGAAAAAACTTCAGGTGAATAACAGTATTTTTACCTTTTCCTAGTTACCTTAACCACCCCCCTCCACCAACTCCTATCTTCCTCCTTCTTCCTCTCCTCTATAGTCTTTCCTTGAAAAGCCAGCCCAGCAGAAAGCTTAGTCATCCAACCAACATTTACTAAAATCAAATTGGCAGGCTGGGGGCTATCAGAACATGTGCTTAGCATAGGGCATAGGTGAGGCCCCAGTCTTAATTTCCTGCACCGCATGCACACACACATACAAATAAATTGCAATGTATATGCAAAGCCCTCATACCATTCTGACCTTTAGCTGCAGTAATTAAACTCATGGTAATCACACCCATAGGTGTAATTAAAAAAATCATGAAAGTTTCATGCACAAAAATGTTTATTCATCATACTATTTTATATATAGTACAAAAAGTTGGAAATATTCTAAAGCTCTAACAGTAGGAGAATTACTTTTATAATAAATTATCTACTGTTCCTTAAAAAACTTGAGAAAGATTTTTGTTGTTGTTTTGTTTGGGGGTTTTTCTCTTTGGTTATGGTGGGGTTTGAATTCAAGGCCTTCTACTTCCTAGGCAGGCACTCTACCACATGAGCTATGCCCCAGTCCGAGAAATATTTCTAAGTGTAAAAAAGCACTATATAAATTATATATTTATTATCTCAAACATATTAAGTAGAGTATATAGAAAAATACACACATATTCACAGAAAAAAACTAGAAGAAAATATGACAAAGTACCAACAGTTTATCGGCATTTAGGTCCATGTATTTTTTTGTTGCCTTTTGAAACAATCTTTTCATATAGTAGGGATTGTTATGGTTTAAGTATGAAAAGTCACCTGTAGGCTCATGTGTTGAACACTAGGTCCCCAGATGGTGGTGCTATCTTAGGAGGTGCGACCCAGCAGGAGGAAGTAGGCCACTGGGGGTGGATCCTTGGGGATCCTTGCCTCTTCTTGTCTCTCTGCTTCCTGTCTACCATGAAGTCGCGGCCTCTACCACATGCTCCTGCTACATGATGTTCTGCCTCACCATGTGCTCAGAGTCAATAGAGACTGCAACCTCTGAAACTATGAGCCAAAAAAAATAATTCCTCCCTTTAAGTTGTTTTTCTTGGTGTTACAAAGTCTGACCAACACAGGGATTAGGTACAATGAACACATAAAGGAAAACTCTACAACAATATGGTGCAAAATGTAATGCACACATACCATGGATGGCATTCAAATGGTTTTGGAAGACACTTGAGTGAGCTGGGAGGGAGGGTAGGGTTTTAGTAGACACACATAAATTTACATCCAAATTCTAAATAATTTAACAGTGTATTTGCTAAATTCAGGGATTTTACTAGAAGGAAACCACAAACACAAACATATACACACACTAAAGATTCCTTGTACTTAAAAAAAAAAAGGCAAAAGATATGTATATGTAAATTTCACATCATTTAATCTTATTTTTTCTAAAAGGAATTTTAGGATTCCTTTAAGAAAATGGACTAGGGGTAGGGAAGATTCAGCTTTTGCTCTTCTCCCCCTCAATCTCTCCCAAATAAATATATAATGTCTTCTTTTTTTGAACTCCAAAGGAACTGTGGACTTCATACCTGTTACTTTACCTCACATGTCCCTAGTTAAAAGCCGTGCTGATGTCTTACTTGCCTTTGTCCTCGCAACACCTATCACCACATATTTGTTGAATTATATTTAATGGTGACATGTCACCAAACATAATGGTAAAACATCACCAAGCATGAAAGGATCATTTATATGAGAAAGAAGAAGAAATTAATAATGTACAATTGGGGTTCTCTTCTTTAGAGAAATGAAGTCATTTCCATCAAAGAATTTGAAAAATTGAATTCATGTTCTTGAAAAAATTAAAGACAAACAACACACCCATGATGGTAGCCTATAAATGTCACTCTGAAGCAAGTGTCCAATTCAGCCAACACTGAATTACAGAGAATCATTTTCTGTTGGAAGTTTCTAGGGCTCCATCCCACAGAGAATCCGGAAAGTCTGAGATGAGGAGAGAGGAGGTAAGGATTTGGAGGTCAGCACAACAAGAATGGAAACAAAACCCTTATGAGAGGTCAACCTCGCTCATGGGATGAGATCAGAACAGAAAGGAAGGATGCAAAGTATGGGACACTGAGTAAGACCAGCAAAGACAGAGGAAGTCACAGAGGGCAAAGTAAGGAAGACATAGGGAAATATGGATAGAGTACCACCCAAGTCACCGTGAGAACTCAGAGAGGGGTGGCAATCCTCTGAGGAAGTCTAAAGACATTTCAGACACTCTAAAACTTCTAAAATGTCTTGAATACTAAAACTGGAGATCCTAACTTGAAAAATTAGTGACTTCTGTAAAATTCCTCAAAGACATCTCAAAGAGATATTTTCCTAACTATGAAAAGATCCTGGGGCTGAAGGTGTGACTCTGCGACAGAGCCCTTGCCTAGCATGTGCAAGGCCCTGGGTCCAATTCTCAGCACCAGAAAAAAAAAAAAAAAACAACCTTTATAATATACTTACTTTATTTAAATAATCCTCACAGGCCAAAGCATTATGAAATATAATATAATCCAGCAAGGTTAAATATTAAATCTTTCTCTGGGAAAGTCTGACTATATTATAGGTTAGAAACAGATCTACAATCCCTAATCATCAATAAATTCTGATACATATAGAACAATTTATGGTTCTTAGATACAGAGCTTGGGTTCTGTGTTCATTTTCCCTCAGGAATCCTGATGGAGTCTTGGTGACACAAACACACTCACCTGTTGGGAACATAGTGGTGTGAAAACTTCTTAGGCTGAGCAAGGTCCTCAAGCCTCTTGGTGAGCTGAGCCTTCAAAGCATTCTCAGGAATACGCCGAATAGGATCTTGATTTCCCCAAAATAGGCTTCTGTTAAAAAAGCATAAAAATAAGGTGGTAAAAAAGTTCACCACCAATCAACATCTTAGAAATGGCTCCTGACAACTTTTATGTGCATTTTACTTCATTTTATAGTTTCCAAGCACTAGAAAGAGATAAAGTATGGGCATTAAAATAAAGAATAATACTGTTTTGTCTACTGTCTTAAAAATTAGTCACCAAAATGAACCTATTGGAGATAAGACCATTCTTTCTACCATCCCAGCCATAGTCAGGCTGGCATAAAATGGCATGTTAATGACCTACACTGTGCTACGCCACCCTGCCATGTGGTCAGAAAATGAAATAGTAACAGAATAATGTTAATAGCTACCATTTGCTTAATATTTACAGCTAAGTGATTTATAGACATCAGTTTATTTAGTCTCAAGCTCTGTGAAATAGGTATGATTCCTGGGCAGGGAGTGAAGAAAAAAGAGAAATCAGTGCAGGATTAACCTAAAAAGTCTTCATGGAAAAAACCAAAAGGCACCAGCAATGTTGTGGTAACAATGGGAAACAGAAATGTCCAAGTTTTGAACTGGGTGTGTTTGGGTGGAAGAGAAATTCATGTTGGTTTTGTTTTGTTTGTTTTTTGTGGCAGCACTGGGGTTTAGATACAGGGCCTCACACTTGCTAGGCTGGCACTCTTAGCACTTGAGCCACTCTGCCAGCCCCAGTAAGTCATGTTGGAAAGTAACACTGCTAGAAGGGGTAAAACAGGGCCAAAGAAGCCTAGAAAGGCACCTCAGGGCCCTCAGGTCACACATAATTGAATTGGCCAACTTACTAAATTATCCTTTTTAAAGGGCCCAGATTTGCTTTCTTTTTTTTTTTTCAAATTTGTCTATGCTTTTGGATATAGCTTTTCTTTTTCTCTGCCTTGTCAACATCAGCCAGAGTCATTATTAGAAATATTAATTAAGATCCCCCACTCCTTACTGGAATCAGCTGATTCCATTTCAAAATGTGGCTCAAATCTGTCCATTTCTCCTCACCCCTGCTGCTGCTTCCTTTGTCCACATTCTCCTAATGCCTACTCCTTTCTCCACATGACAGTCACAGTGGTCCTTCTGCAAACAAATCTGATTAAGTCAGTTCCTTGTTCAAGACGCTTTTTTTCTTTTTGTGGTACTGGGAATCAAGCCCAGGGCTTACACACGCTAAGCAAGTGCTCTACCCCTGAGCTACATCCACATCCCAGAGCAAGACACTTTAAGGGTTTCCTCTGACTTTAGAGTACCAATTCTTCCGCCTCCTTAATGTGGCTTACAAAGCCCTCCACACTTTTGTCCAAGAGTGCCTCTCCCTCTCCAGCCCTCTGTATTCTTCCAGATCATGTCTTAATCTTTCAAAAGTTTTCCCTTCATATTTTATTGTTATACACTAGGGACACTCAATACTTGTTTGATAAATGAATGAATGGATGATAAACAAATACTGGGGAGAAAAGAATGACCTCAAGGAAAATATGAGACTAATGTCCTCTCATCAGGGGACAAGGGCCAGACAAGGGAGAGCCACAGTGGGGAAGATGGTAACTGTAGTCTCCAATGAAAGAAGTGATGGATAGAGATAAGGACATCATGTTATATAAGTAGAGGAAGATTTTGAGGCTTCAAGATGCATCAAATATATTGAAATGCATCAAATACAACAGACATGAAAAAAGAAGAAAACTGAAAAAAAGATAATAGGATTTGGCCAGGTGATTATCAGTGGCAGTAACAGGAATGTCTTCAGCTAGGCCAACTAAAAAAGGATAGGAGGAGCATGGCTAAGAGGACCAGAATTAGAAGCAGAAGTCACACACACACATACACACACACACACACACACACACACACACACACACACACACACACGTCTTTCCAAGAGTCAGAGTGAGACAATGGAAATAAATGGGCTTTCTGGGCAAAGGGTGTAGATTCAAGTCCCAGTTTGGGTGCCTATGAGCTGGGTAAATTAACTTTTATGAGCTTGACTTCTTCATCAATTCATTCAATTTCTGTTGGTTTCAAATAGGGAAAGGGGAGGATTGTTCTAAGATATTTACACTTACAGCAATATTAATTACACATGTGTTATCGATGTGTATCACTCATCAATCTATGTGTATGTTTCTGAAGGGGGAGGAGAAAGAGAGGGGAGGGAGGAGGAGGAGGAGGAGGAAGAGAAGAAGAATCCAGTGTGATATTGGTGAGAGAATAGACAAATCAGTGGAATAGAATACAGGTCTTAGAAACAGACCTACAGAAATATAGTCAAAGGATTGAAAGCAAACCAATCAAGAAAGAATAGTCTTTTAAAACCATCAAAAAAAAACCTAGCTCAACATATATTATAAATTTAAATAAACTGAAATGCAAAACTATAATGCTTCTAGAAACTTTATAGAAGAAAACTACAAGAGAAAATCCAGGTAATCTTGGATTTGGCAATGAGTTTATAGATTCAATAGCACAATTCACAAAAGAAAAAAAAGGGTAAGTTGGATTTAATTAAAATTAAAACTTTTGCTCTGTGAAAGACAGTACTAAGAGAATAAAGACAAGCCTTAGGCTGAGAATTTGCAAAACACATGTCTGATGAAGGAGCACTATCCAAAATATACAAAGAATACTTTAAACCCATGAAAACTGGATAATCCATACCACGAAAATGGGCAAAAGATTTGAACAGACACCTCACCAAGAAAATATACAAATAAGGATATAAAATATGCTTAACATCATGTTGTCAGGGAATTGCAAAGTAAAGCAATGAGATACCACTACCCATCCCTAAGAATGGCTCAGATCTGAACACTGGCACTACCAAATGCTGTAAGAACAACAGGAACTCTCGCTCACTGTTAGTGAGACTGCAAAATGGCACAAAAGCTGTGGAAGACAATTTAGCAGTTGCTTAGAAAACTAAAGATGCTCTTACCACAATTCATCAATATATCACGAATATTTACCCAAATGAAGTTGAAAACATGTCTATATAAAAACCTATTCATACTCTATACATGAATACTTAGAGCAGAAAAAAGACCTTTCAACAGCTAAATGGATAAATGGTCATCCATACGATGGAATCTTACCCAGATTAATGGAGTATAAAATTAAAGAAATGAGCTATCAAGCCATGAAGTGATGTGAAGGAATCTTAAATGCCTGTTACGAATTGAAACAAGCCAGTCTGAAACTATACTGTTGATTCTAACTATATGACATTCTGGAAAAGGCAAAACTGTAGAGATAGTAAATAGATCAGTGGTTGCAAAGGGTTCAGGGGGTAGGAGAGAGGAAAAGGAAGGAATAGGTAGAACACAGAGGCGTGTTCAGGCAGTGAAACTATTCTGCATGATACTGTAAAGGTGGGTCCAGGATACATGTTTGTCAAAGCCTACAGAACCATAAGTGAATAACCATGCAATAAGTGAACCTTAATATGAATTATGGGCTTTAGTCAATAATAATGTTATCAATATTGGCTCCTTAATTGAAATAATTGTACCACATTAATGCAAGACATGAATGATAGGGGAAACCTGGGAAAGGGTGGTAAATATGAGAACTACACTTTCTGCTCAATTTTTCATAAATCTAAAACTTCTCTAAAATATTCTGGCTTTACAAAAGAGCCAAAGGAAAAAAAGCATTACAGCCCAGCATAGGAGGACTGGGTATGCAGCCTGCTGCAGAGAACAGGTATGCTGTAGGCATATTCTCAGAGACAGCAGGACTGAACATTACAGCCAGCAAAGGTGGACCTGCAGGATGAACACAGCGTTTCAAAAGAGTGTGAAGTCCAACCCCGGGCAGTGGTTCTCCAACCTTTTGGGAAGCTTTTAACACTCTCAAAGCTGTACCCCAGGATTTCTGGGGATGGGATGCATTCATCATCAGTGTTAAAGTTCCCCATGTGCTGAGTCAACTGAGGTGACACTGTTGGCATGGTGGATCCACATATGTACACATGGATGGGTACACCTGGAATGTAGGGTTAATGGGCAGGTAAGAATAATGTGATAAAAATAAACACAATTATAGCGAACAGGATCATATACTATCACCTTACCTATCTGGCGTTCCCCATTGTCTTTTAGGTCTAGAAAGATCTTGAATTCTTTTTCTAGAAAAAAAACTAACAAATACCAGCTGGTTAATTCAAAGAGAGTGCTTAAGAAATACAGTTACATTGGGTGACTTTTAATCAAAGAAATCCTATTTGTCAGGGAAGGGGGCAGTGCTATATCAGAGGTGATTTAAAGAGTGCAAAAGTGGGGGGCATAGCTCGAGTGGTAGAGCACTTGCCTAGCAAACATGAGGCCCCAGGTTCAAATCCCCAGTATGCAACAAAATAAAATAAAGAGTGCTGAAAGGTTCACAGTATGCAAAAATACTATGAATCCAAGAGTCTTAGTTCTAGAATTATTAATATAGTATATATAAAAAAAAGACAGGAAATATGCAACACACCATAGAGTCTATGGCTCCAGAAGGTTCTGGGTAAAAGGTATACATGCTTTTTCTGTTTGTTTGGTTTGGGGTTTTTTGTTTGTTTGTTTGTAGTACTAGGGATTGAACCCAGAGCCCCATGCTTGCTGGGCAAGCACTCTATCTCTTGAGCTATACCTCCAGCCTTAAATGCATACTTGTTAATGGAATAAAACTTCAACTAGCATATTAATTTGTAAATGGTTTGGTGGCACTGGATTGTGAAGAGATTGTGCAGAAAAATTGTGGACAGAATGTCTGGCTTTGGCAAAAACCATGGAAGAGGTAAAAATATACTTTTGGAACCATTTGGCCTTCTTCATGCTCCACTCTGCTCCTTTGAACATTCCCTAATCATTCTTAACCCAACTGTGGCAGGAAGAGTTCATGCTCTCCACACTTCCATGTTCCCCTACATTTCCCAGCTGTCTTTGCAGTTGTTTGGAGCCATGTAACTAGCTCAAGTCTAACTTCAGCAGGAGTGATGGGTATCACTACTAGAGCAATGCACTTAACAGCTCATGTGCCTCCTCCATGTCTTTTCCTGTTCCAGTGACCCTGGAAGCTGCATGTTCCTGGTAGCAGAACTATAAGGAATAACCAACTCACACTGGACTCTAGTGTGAGAGAGAAACAAACTTTTATTTTATCAAAGAGTTGTTTACATCTTGTTTGTTACTGTAGCATTGTCTACCTAATGCAGGCTAACATATCTCCTATGTTACTGTAGCTTATTTTGTGATTATTTATGTAGCTGGTTGGAGTTTGAAGGGCCTGATAACAATCCTTTTTGCCCATCAGTTAGGAGCCAACTGAAAAATAGACACAGGAGTTGGACATATTTATCCAATATTTCTGTTCTGGATAAGAAATACTGAAGGGAGTGGTTTGGACTCCTGACATCCCTGAATTAGCCATGCTGCTGAGCTTCAGGAGGCCTCCCTCTTTGGGCTAAGCTTGCTGTGTATCAGAAAGATCACAAACATCACTCCCTGAAGACAGATCCCAAAGAGAAAGGACTCAGAAGGACCACATCTCTCTCTCTCAAATCCATGAAATAGTTGTAACTTTCATGTTCTAAGAAGCTCACTTAATGGGTGAGGCAAGAGTTCAGGTGAATTAGTCAAGAGAAATTCTTTGATGGACAGGTGATGAGAAAAGCATTCTCCCAAACACTTGCCTGAGCACCTTCACAGGCTCCAAACAATTTGTGTTAGAATAAGCTTTGGCTCTGGGGTCAGGGATTCCAGCCCTGCCATAGCACACACAATCCCCTTTATGTGTGAAAATGACCTCCTAGTTCAATGACAATTGGTGCACCATGCAGCCCCTCTCAGAAAGTGGGAGGGGGAAGAGGGGATTACTAGTGAGCAACTATCTCCCAAGATTGCACATTCACAACACTGAGCCATCCATTCTGAAGAACAAGCTGAAATCCTTTCATCAGAATCGATTTCCAACTTATTCTGTGTTACTTAACTTGTGTTGTTCCTCAGCCTTTACTAATGACTTCTTTCATCCTCACAGCTTTTCTTAGCTGTGCACAGGAGATGCACAGGAAGGATTTCATGTACACAACCAGGCCATAATATCAGCAGTCCCCTGGAGGCCAGCATCATGGTAGCAGTGACAGATCTCAGGGACATGGGATCAGTCCAACAATTCTGCTTGTCTAAGAGCTAATTATTCCAGCACCAACTTTGGAGATTCCAGGTTTTATTGTTTCACAGTGAAATATTATTTTCTTGCTATTATTTTTATTGAGACATAATACTTGTACATCTTTGTTGGTTATACCATGGTAACTCAGTACATGTATATAAAAAAAACAAGTCAGGGTAATAGCATTTTCATCTCTTCAAACATTAATCATTTTATGTGTTGGGTATTTTGTACTCTTGAAATCACTTTGAAATACATCATATTTCATTTTAACCTAATTCTCAGGGTTTGTATGATGGTAATAAAGGGAGTCGAGACCCTTTAGAACATTTCAAAAGGTCAAGTGGAATCCTACACCATCCACAAAGAGGCTGTCAAGGATACTCAAAACATCGAATTTGTTTCTGAATTATAACATCTCCCTGTGTTACTCTACCTCTTGAGCCATGTCTCCAGCCCTATATGTCGTTAATTTTTCAAAAATTAATAGCAAATGTTTATTTGTGAACAGTAATACATTTTTTTTCAAGACACAAGATTGTGGCAGTGGGCAGAGGTGTTGGCAATAATGGCGCTGGTAGGTTTCAGTTCTTACTGCACCCTTAAGCTTCTGTTTTCCTGGGTCAGGGTCCTGCCTCCCAGGGTCACAGTCCTGCCTCAAGTCTAGCTTGAATCCTCCTTCTGCCCCAACCTCCAATCAGCATGAACTAAGATCCTAACCAATCAGATCATGCTGAGTCCCACTGAGGGGTAGTTAAGCCCCTGCCCCTCTCTCCCTCTCTCTCCCTCTCCCACCCGGCAATAAAGAATCTCTTAGCCAGATCACTCCCCTCCACGTGGTCATTTTGGGGCCTATATTTCCTTACAAGAGGTAACTGAGAACAGCCTGGGCCTGCTCTGGCTCACTCTATGTTGTATGGAACAGCAGCTTTCAGGTTGTGCCTAGTTGAGTGACTCCATTTTATAAAGCAACAGTTTTAACCAAGTTACTCCATTTTGAGTATAAGTGCCAAGGTGGAATGTCCTTATATCTTACTTATACAAGTAAACAACAACCATCTACCAGCACACCACGAGGCACAAACTGGATAAATAATTTATATCAATAAATAATTATACCTGTGAATATATCAAATCAGATAAGAAATACCAGACACATGAACTTATCAATCACACCAAATGTGACCTCCTTCACCTGGGAGCACCCCAAGACTGAGACATGGCAGGTACACTGACCTGCCACCCAGTCACTTGTCATGAGCCTTGTACAGGAGAATTGTCAAAGTGAAGAACTTCTGTCTGCCTCTGTCTCCAGGGTTCTATCTCCTTCTGGTGACACAGAGCACACTCCCAACTGACACTCAAAAATGCCTGCTACCTGGACCTACATCTGACAACTGTACACTGACTACTTTCTCCACCTCCCACTCCTTCTTTTTGGTTCTGAGGATTGAACTCAGGGCCTTGCACATGCTAAGCAAGTGCTCTACCACTTGAGTCATGCCCCCTGTCCTGTAAAACTTATCTGGTCCCCCTCAGAGACTTTTCCTTGCATTTGTATCACCTCTCTACCTGTGCCTTCAGTTTAGCCTTCTGAACCCTGAAGCCTCTTTAGCCCTTTCTTAGTCATTCCGTAACATATATAGTATATATATATATATATAGTGTATGATTTAAGTATGATGACCAACTGATGAAAGTCACAGAAAATACTATAAACACAATTCCAGTAACATTGACTTAAAACACACATTTTAAAATCAAACTTTACATATAACATTTCAGACATCTCAAACCATAAAGTATGCACAGAAAATGGGCAACGAGTGATGAAAGTGTAACAAAGTATCTAATTTCTTATTCCAGCTGCAAGGAAAAGAGTTAACTATATATAAATATATAATTGTGTGAAATATAATGTGTGATCCGAGAGTGAATATTAGTAATTAAGATTGCAATAGAAGAATCTGTGATGGCCAATGGAGATGAACACCAAGTGAAATCAGGAGTATTTGTCAAATTAAAGCTAACAAAATTAATATAGATTGTAAATCTATTATTAGATAATTCTGATATTATGGAAAGACACAAACATGTCTTTCTGTATTTCTGACATAGCTTACTCACAACTTAACCAAAAGATTCTTTGGCTGTGAAGTTTGGCATGTGATCTGTCGATATAATGCAACCCCATAGTCACGCCCAGTCTTGTTCATCTAGAAACAATGAGGATACTATTCCTTGCCAGAAGTAAAATCTACATCCTTTTTCAACAGAAGAATGGCTTTGCCTTGCAGGTACCAGGTAACCTCTACTGTGAGAGCCTAGTTTGGGCAGCACAGAGGAGAAGAAAGCCATAGTTGCAGACAAAAGAATCTTACCATGTGTTAATCTCTTAAAGCAAGTTAGCTTCTAATGTGGGTCATCACCCCAAGACTTCCCTCACTACCTTCTTTTTCACCAGAAAAATAATGGGTTATAAATGTGGTATTTTATGCAAGACTACTGACAGTTTCCTAGTTTATTCCTGTAGATATGTAAATTGGTTTATTTTTTCAATTGGAAGTAATATCTTAATATTTTTCTTAATAGTTCTCTGTGAAGGTCTGACTAATACCTCATCATTTCATTTGTTTTTTAATGCATCATGTCACCACAACTACATTTCCAATCTTTATCTCTTAATATTAACATGGATTTCCCTTCTGTCTCAGGAACTGCATTACCTCACTGTGTCTTATCTTGTTCCTGTGCAAAGTTTAATGAGGATTACATTGCTGTGCCTTTCTTCATTGATGATTAGTCTCCTATGGTTTGCCAATAGCCAAGAAATTTTTTTAATCCTTACTTTGGGTACAGAGCACTAAATGTATGTTTATAGAGCTGTAACCATGGAAACGATTTTGGGTCTCTACTGATGGGGCCATCTAAGAAGTCTTTCATCAGAATGCTCTTCCATTTTAGGATCTGGCTTATATTCGAAAGTATTTGCTTTCATAACTAAGTATGCACATCCATTTGTATACAAAAGAATTGTTTAGGAGCTTCAGGGGCAGATAAGAAGTTAGCACAATCTTCTCACACTATCAACCTGAAATTAACCAATCAAACAAAAGCAAGAAGCAGTGAAAAAGAGAAGCAATAACAAAAGTCAATCACTGTCTTCATCATCAGTCCTGAAGTACAAAAACATAGTAAGTATAAACTATTTTCACTTTCACAGGGAAGTTTACTCATTCAGCACACACTATTTGTTTGAAGTAATTGGACTTTTGAAAGGGTACTTGTTAATATTCAGTAAATGTTTTTCTACCATTTCTACTACTCAGCTACCATACCACCTTGGGAAAGCAGCACAATTTCTCTGAATCTCATTTTCTTCTGATAACTTATAGTTGACATACAGATATGTATATCCTGGGCTGGAGGAGTGGCTCAAGTGGCAGAGCACCTACCTGCCTAACAAGTGTGAAGCTCTGAGTTCAAACCCCAGTACCACTAAAAAAAAAAAAAAAAATGACCCAAGCATTGTTTAAAAAAAAAAAAAAGGCAGACATGTATGTCCTACTTTTCAAGTAAGAAAGTATTTTAAAAAGCTGCAAAGCATTACACACAAAAAAATAAGGTAATAATATTTATTATCTGGCCTATATTTAAAAAAACAAAATCAATGTAAATAATAAATAAAATTATAAATGGGTTGAACAACTGCAAAAAATATAAATGATTTTAACCCACCTCTTAGAAGAGTAAATAAAAACAAAGTCTGATATTATTTGTTTCTCATCCACATGAATCATTGATATAGACCATTGGTATTTCTCTTTACTGATTCTATTGTTTTGTCTAAATTACATCTCTGCCAAACCAAGGTTAGCATCTATTTTCAGGAGTCATTGTATGTTCCTACATAGATATACAGGCTTCTTTTTTTTTTTTGTGGGACTAGGGTTTGAACTTAGGGTTTCATGCAAAGCAGGTGATCTACCACTTGAGCCACACCTCCAGTCCACTTGCTCTGGCTATTTTCGAGATGGTATCTCATGGACTATTTGCCTAGGCTGGCCTCGAACCCCAGTCCTCCCAATCTCAGCCTCCTGAGTAGTTAGGATTACAGGTGTGGGCCACCAGCACCTGGCTATTCTTTATTTTTTCATAGAGAGCACTTCCTTGATTTCATTAGCTACTGTCCTTGAATTAGAGGCAAGGAGGATGGGGAGTAACCTGTACCTTCTCCATGCCCTTCAACCTAGGACAGGAGACTGTCAATGCCCTGAAAGGCTCAGAATCTACTACGAAACAAATATACTCTAGTAAATAGTATATACTCTAGTAAATAGTATATACTCTCCCATCTCAGTGTTCTCCACTTCACTTAATTACTTTACCTCCCTTCTTTCCTCCTCCCACAGGACTTGTGACTACAAGAGGACCTATGACAATAGAGCAGCGTGGGAATCTCCTTCTCAGAAGCCCCAAGACAGATTCCCCTTCAAGTCCCCAGAGGTCTGCCCATCTGGCTCAGCTGGCCACCATCTTCAGTAGGCAACAACAGTACAGAGATACAGTCTTACCATTTCCTTACAAAGTCACAGGACACAGGGTTTGCTACAAGAAAATAAAAGCAAAAATTAGATTCAACAGGAATCAAAGCTGTGATAAAGATAACATGACAAATCAAAAGAGAAAGGAGTTGGGAAAATAAGTGTTTGGGGAAATGGCCAAGTTAAATGTGTCACACCAGGTACCAAGATAAATCACAAGCAAACCAAATGAGAGAGAGAGAGAGAAAGAGGGAAAGAATATCTACTTAATCAATCACTGGATTTTAATCTTCTAGGGCTAAAGCTGACAAAAAATTTGGAGAAATGTAGCAGTAAATATGACAGAGGATTAATGGCACTAATATTTGAAGAGTTTAAAAGTATAGATTAATAGGGAAAACATTAAAATATGTGCCAAAAATAAACAAAGGGTAGGAACTAAATTTATATAGAGAGATATATCATGGGCTGATAAGACATAAGAAAAATTCAAATTGACATAATCAAAACAGTACAAATTTAAAGTGAGTTTTTTCAAACTATCAAATTAGCAAAATTTCCTTGCAAAGGGCAGTGATGCTAGAAGATGAGTATTCTCATGCATGCTGGCAAAAATTTAAATTAGTATACTTAAAATAATTTGGCAGTACGCATCAGCAGTGTTCATATTTCTTAACTCAGTTCTATTTCTAGAAATGCACCTAAGGAAATAATTCCAAGTGTGAGCAAAGACTGATGCACAAAAATGTTCATCAAATGTTCAATGGTACCCTTTGGTGGTGGGAAGTTATATAAACCTGAAATGTCCAAACCAGATGAAATGGTTAAGCAAATGAAAATTCATGTTTAGATGGTGTTTGGGGCTTTTTAATGTGGGAAAATGTAGGTGATTCAGAGACCAAGGTATCCAAAGATCTGTCATCACAGACGTCATAAAGACAGGTTGTTCCAGACAAAATCTCTTCTTACAAGGTTTTGAGCTGAGAGTTCTACCCTTTGGACTGTTGGGGAAAAGCAGGAGCACTCTGGCATCAGAGATATGGATCAAAACCCAGGATTTTGGTTTTTAAATTTTTTTTTTCTGGTACCAAACCCAGGTCTTGCACTTGCTAGGCAGGTGCTTTACCACTTAAGCCATGCCCCCAGTTCTTTCAGGTTATTTTTCAGGTTAGGTCTGGTTCTCTTTCCTAGGTCAGCCTCAGACCATGATCCTCCTACCTCTGCCTCCTGAGTAACTGGAATTACAGGCGTGCACCACCATTCTAGCTGCTTCCTCTTTTATTATTATTGTTATTATTATTATGCAGTACTGGAGTTTGAACTCAGTGCCTCCCACTTGCCAGGCAGGCCTCTACCACTGGAGCCAAAGCCCAGCCCACAACTTTTATTTTTGAGACAAGGTCTAACATTTTTGCCTCAAACTTTAAACCTATCTCCGCTTCTCACATAGCTAGGATTACAGGCATGTACCACCATGCCTGGCCCTGGTTTTACATTTTGGACACAGGTCTTGCTATGTAGCCTAGACTGGCCTCAAATTCATAATTCGTCTGCCTCAGTCTCCCAACTGCTGGGATTATAGGCACAAATCACTACATCTGGGATCAAACTCCAGTTTTTGTTACTCAACTGTATGATCTTGGGCAGATTAAGTTCTCTGAGATTCAGTTTTCTCCTCTTAGATTAGAGGATAATACATAAGTCTGTGTAAAGATTAGTGAGGGGTGTGTGTGTGGTGTGGTGTGGTGTGGTATGGTGTGTAAAAAGCACACTATGGTAGGTGAACCATAGTTGGAATTATTAGTTCAACTTCAGTGTGGAAGTGAACTTTTTTATAGTGGAGCACTATAAAAAATCCAAATTACTATGAATTTGGCTCCTATGTGAAAGCATGGCTGAGTGTGGACAGAACACAAGTAAGATAGGCCTGCCTTCACACACACACACTCGGTAATGGACGCTTTCAACTCAGCTATCTCTTATTGCTCTACTTTTTGAGGCTCAGCTGACTTAGACCTAAGGAAAAAGCTAGAGAGGTCTGAAAAAGCCATTGTGCTGTTGGCATTTGCTGTGTGCATTTCTCATGGATGACAAGCTTCTGGGTTTCAGCTGCATATACACAGTCAGTATAAGAGCGAGTCAGTGCTCACAGACCATCTGTAAACACAGATGATCCAAGGGAGGAACCCTCTCCCCCATTGCCAGCTTACTTTCTGCATCATCTCACTGGTCAGTGGGACAGAATGGCTCCCAGCTGGCCAGTGTTAGCCAGTGTCCTCAGCAAAGCAGTGCTGCCCAAACTTGTCTGCAGGTTAGACTTGTTGACAGTCTTTTAAACTGGCCAGGTCCCACACCACATCCCAGGCAATTAAACCTCAGTCCCTACAGGTGGGACACAGGCATTGGTTTTTTTTTTTTTTTTGAAGCAGACAAACAGGTCTGGGGACTATTACCAACACCGTAAGCATACAAGAAATGGTATCTATTATTAGTTCTAAAAATCCATGCGTTACAATTCTGCTTACATTTCTGCAGATAAAAAGGCATTTAAGTAATGCAGTCATTGTTAAGGAAGTATTTTCTTTAGGGGTTCCAAGTATGAAAATAAATGTTAGTGAGAATACACTCAATTGTGAACATGTATTCATCTGTATCGTTGGCTTCTTAAGCGTTTATGCCCTCTCTTCTTCAATTTGATGTGCTTCGATAAACACACACATAGCACACTGCACTAAGATGTATCTATGGAAAGATGAAAGATTCAAGGAGGAAGTTTAAGAGTGGAGGAAGGAAAGCCAGGACAATAAAATGAAACAAAGAACAGGTCACAAAGCCCAGCAGCTCCATGTGAGCAGCTACCACTGAGGCACTAGCTTTTCTTAATACAGTGGTCCCATCCCTGGCTTCACTTCTGGGGGTTCCAGGCATCTAAAGCCTAAAAATATTAAGTGGAAAACTCCAGAAGTAAGCAGTTCGTAAGTTTTCAATAGCTTTTATTTAGAACAATTATTTCAGTCTAAACAATTGTTCATTCTGACAACCAAGGCCACTGTGACTACTGTTCAGGACTGTTTAATCTCTCACCGTGCGTAGTTTATGGATGAAGTTCACAGAGGTATATATACATAGGTAAAAGCACAGTATACACAGGGTCGGGTACAACGCATGGGTTCAGACCCCGGGGGGAGGTGTTGGACTGACCCCCGCGGGTCCTCACTACTGCATTGCAGTTGGCGGGGGGGGGGGGGGGGGGGGTCATTCTCGGCTTTGTTCTGTCATGACAATCTATGGGACGGGACGGTGCAGAGGAGGGCGGCGGTGGAGGAGCTGTACCGATTGTCCGGCCGTGCTGGGCAGGGCTGGGTGGGCGGCGGCGTCGTGGTGCAGGGCCCCGGCGACCCGCGGCCGCAGGCTGTGGCGGACTCCGGTACTGGCACGGCCGAGCGCGGGCTCCGTGCGGCGGGAGGGGGCGCGGCCGGCCGGGTCCCGGGGCGGCTCCGTGTCGGGCGCGGCCGCGGGGCCGAGGGCGCGGGGCGGCGGCCCGGTGCCCAGCGTGGTGCACTGCGGCAGAGAGCGAGGGACAGGCCAGAGTTACAGACGTTCCTCGTGGGGCTGTGCGGGTGCGAGGCGGGGCAGAGGAAAGGGCAAGGCTGGATCGCTGCTTCCGTCTTCGAGGTTTACTCTTGGCGCGTGCTTCATGAGCCAAGTGCAATCACGAAAATTCAGGAGGTCCCCAGGAGCGTAGCATAAATGGCTGCACGTAAAGCGGCAAGATTTTCCCCCAAAGAACTGTTCCCCAGAAAAGAAGAGGCCCCAAACATGAGGCACTTCCTCACTAACTTACTTTTCCAACACCAGGCCAGGGAAAACATTAGCCTGAAAAACAACTCAAATAAATGCAAGAATGGGAAAATTACAGCACCCTCCCTACCCAAACCAGCATTTAAAATGGGAGGGAGATGGAATTTAAAGAAAAGTTTTACAATTGTATAAATTTAGTCATCACTCTTGGGGATATGATTTTAATAATCTGAAGTGTTGGGCGTTGCTCTAAAAACAAGCTTTCAACATTGTCTTAAAAAGCAAAACATGAACACAAAACGCAGTCAAGGGCCTGCTGATGTACGGTGAAGACAACAGCAGCAGACAGTACTATTTTTTTCTTTCAGTTCCTACCACTACATTACCTGAATGCGTTCTGATGGCTTGTGGCATAATTTCCAGTGACAGCCGCAAGCACAGGTTGGCAAGGGCTTGTCTCACTCCTTAATAAAAAAAATGGAACCCAGGTCATGAACAAGGCAGGTTGCTAAAGCCACAGCGATGTGACTAGGGAACTTTTAATGGAGGCATCAGACAATCTCACCTGAGCCCAGTCAGCAAGCCTCAGGGCCTGGAGAGCCCACCTCTGCTGCTTCCTCACACAGCACTAGCTACCAGAGTCTTGCCAAAAGTGACTCTTTTTCAATCTAAGCAAGCCTCTTAATCTATAAATGTGATTTGCAAGAACTAGAGCAGCCAGAGGAACAATCGAAGACATTGCAAAGAAAGAATCAAGTTCAGAATATGGGATATTTCACCCAGCTTTTGTAAGGAACAGATGGTGTTTCAAAAAGGAAGAGAGCATAGGAGTAGTGATTTTAAGAAGACACTGAAGAGATGTAACTCAAATGCAATGTGTGGCCTTTAAGTCCTAACTCAAACAAGGTGTACAACAACATTTTGAGACAATTAGGGAAATCTTAAGTACTTAGTGGGCATTAGATGTTATTAGAGGATAACTGTAAATTTTGTTTGGTATAATAGTGACATAGTAATTATGTTTTTAACATAATTCTTAGCAAGTAGAGATGCAATGACATACGAAAGCATTTATGGGTAAAATGGCATGGTGTCTGTTGCTTTCTTTAAAACAAATTTGTCCTATGGGATGCTCTCCAAACTTGGAGGGGGGCAATGAGGGAAATGCCTAGATGAAATGAGATTTTTAAAATGTTAATAAATAAATAACAAAAAATGACTGTTGAAACTAGGTGGTGGATACATGGTTACGGATAGGAATTA